ACTCTTTGGCTTCTCATCTTGTGTCTCTTTCTCATTTCTTACTGGCTCTGCTTTGCCAATGTCATGGGTGTTTTTTTTCTGCACCTCTAAATGAAGCGACTGTAAATGTTTTTCTTTACCTTCTTCCGTCTCTTTTTCCTTTAACCCATGTACTTCCTTAAATTCCTCCTGTTTCTCCACTTCCTTTAGTTTTTGCACCTCCTCCTGCATCTTCTCCTCCTTCAACACCTCCACTTCAGCCTGCCTTTCTTCCTCCTTTAATTCTGCTATCTTCTGCTGCATCTCCACTTCCTTTAAATCCTCCATCTCCTCCAGCTTCTTCTCATCCTTGAACTCCTCCACTTTTGCCTGCCTTTCTTCCTCCTGCAACTCATCAGCCTTTTCCTGCTTCTTCTCTTCCTCTATCTCCTCCACGTTCTCTTCTTCTTTGAACTCCTCCACCTCATCATACTTGTCATCCTTCAACTCCCCCACTTCCTCCTTCTTGTCTTCCTTCTTTGCCTTGTCCAGTTGCTCCTGCTTCTCCTGTTCCTTTACTTCTTCCACCTCCTCTCCTGTCTCATCTTTGCTTACCTTCTCCACCTGCTCTTGCTCTTCTTCTTCCTTTAACTCCTCCACTTCCTGCTGCTTCTCTTTTACATCCTCCGCCTCTTGCTGCCTCTCCTCTGCCTTTAAAGTGTCCACTTCCTCCTGCTTCTTTTCTTCCATTATCTCATCTACCTTCTCCTGCTTTTCCTCATCCAGTTTCTGCTGCTTGTCCCCTTCCTTGGACTCCTCCACCTCTTTTAACTCATCCCGTTTCACCTCTTCCTGTAACTCTTCCACCTCTTCAGTCTCAGTTTCTATTTCAGACCTTATAGCTGACTTCTGGCTCACGTCATTCAAAATTTCTTTCTCAAATTCCAATTTCTCTTTGTTACTGTGAGCTTGTTGGGGGATCTTTTTGCCTTTTTTTTTAGTTTCTCCTAGCTGGTCTACAGCATCTTGTATGATTCTCTGTTCCAGCTGTAGAGATGCAGAGTCCTGATCTGTGTTGTCCATATTAGTATCTTGAGTGAGTGTGACCACGTCTGAGAACATTTCATAAGGACTTGGAGCACTTCTGTTAGTAGAATGGGATGATCGAAACTCTTGAGATCTGCTTTCAAGAGTGTGGGCTCTTCCATTCTCTACTAACTCAGCATGATGCGTCTCTGTTTCTTTGTTATTATCAGTCATGGCTAGTATATCTGAATTATGAACATCAGGTTTTACACTGTGGGTGGGTTCATTTCTCTCATTAGCTGAGCCTGATGAGAAGGGAGGCTTACTCTTTCCACTACTCTCTTCTGCATTATCACTGACTTGACTGTGTTCGGCTGATTCATCTAGCTGAGCCGTGGAAATGTCTCTGTGGAGTGCATCTGTATCTACAGTGCTCCTCTCACGTGCATATTCTTCATTGCTAGCACCAATTAGAACAGTGGAATCTTCTGTGTCATCAATATGATTTGTGATTCTGGCCCCTTCCTCATTCACACTTCCCGTTTTCTTGCTTTGCGGCTGATCTTTGTCGTCCTCCTCAGCCTTACTTACAAATCGCCCCATGGAGTTGTGTGTGCGTGTTAAAAAATCATGCACAGTGTCACTTGTGCTTTTAATTTTCTCCTCTACCGGTGCTGTGTTATCCTCATCATCCTTCCCTATTATTTGGGGCATCTGATATCCTTCAATTTCCGTTTCTGCCAATCTTTCCTCATAAGTTCCACCTACACCCTGGGACTCTTCCTCTAACTTGGCCTGTGGAGAAATATCTTCTTGATCAACCTTGGATGCAGCATCAGTAGGTAAACTACTATCCTTGCTCCAATGTGAAGCATCTATATTGTTATTATTAGTGTCTTCTTTGACTAGTGATAAGCTGGCAGACTCTGGTTCTGTATTATATTGGAGAACTTGATCTTTGTCTTCCACATTTAATTTATTGCTGTCTTTGATGAAGTTACTAATATAATTATCTTCACCCTCTGGTATTGTATCTAACCCTAACTGTTCCTCCAGGCTCTGTATGTCGGGCTCTGTTGTCTGTGCAGGTTGTGACTGACTGGTGTCCACATTCTCTGTACCTGTTGCTGCTTCTAAGGTTGTGTCCTTTTCTTTGTCATTAGAGCCACTCACTTTACTCTCATCAACTTCAGTCTTATCGTTCCTGAAGCCTAAAATGTCTCTGATCCCAATATCCAACCAAGAATTAGACACTGGCTGTTCCTTCTTTTCCTCGATTGTCTCCTCAGCTTCTTGTCCACTTATTGTCTTGTGTCCCAGCCCCTGATTGGTCATGCCAAACCCCAGCACACTTGACAGTCCATTTCCTAGCCAATCCAGTGTCCCTGTCTTTTCCTTCTCCTCCTCATGTAATTGGCTGCCTTCTAGGTCCAGAGACATCCTTCTGCTTCTGAATGTCTCTTTCAGGTCACTTTCTTCATCTATTTCTCTTTCTTCATCTTGCTCTTTTTTTGTGAAAACTGTTCTTTTCTCACCTCCAAAACCAAGCCACCTAGTCATGGTTGAAGTCAAAGAATTAGCTGCTTCTTTATGTTTTTCTCTATTTTTTACAGCATCATTAGGGTTTCCTTCTCCCCCTCCAAACCCCAGCCATCCCATCATAGATGAAGTTTCAGCCTGTCTCTCTTTTATCTCACCCTTTCCCCCTCCTTCAGCCAAATTAGCAGGTTGTTCCTCTTGTTCCAGACCTAACCATCCTGTCACAGAAGAACCGAGCCAGGAAGAGGAGGGAGACCCACCTTGTTCAATCAGAACTGCAGGAGTCTCCTGTACTTCCTTGTGAATCCTGCCAGGAGCATCAGCAGCATTTTTGTTTTCACCTTCTTCTATTGATGTGCCATCAGATTGCTGTGCTGAAACTGGAGATTCTGTAAAGGGATTTACTGATGCTGAAGGACTTTCAGCACTAGTGTCATCAGTGCATTGGTCAGTTTGGGTGGTTTTTGACTCCTCGTTTGGGATTTTTTGATTGTTGTCATCATCATCACTGTCCAGATGACTGGAGTCAATGGGGTAGCCAAACTCATTCATACAGATAAAATCTGATTTCTAAATGAAGAGAGGACATGAGGAAACTTCAGTAATAAGACAATTTGAACAAATTCAACAATAAATAATACAACAAGCATTAATTCAGGGACAAATACCATACCATACCATACACAGTATACCAATTTACAAATTATTGAATTCATTTACAATCACCTAGTATAGTTATTATAAAAGAGCATGTTTTATTCAAAGCCTCTAAACTGAAAAGCTACTGAAATCGAAGCCTATTTACCTGTGTTTGCACTACTTTCTCCATAGTTGCATAAACCTGCTCCTCTTGCACTGCATCCTTTGGGAAATAGCCAAACTGTTTGTCAATCTGAAATGAAAAGAAAACAGCAGCAAGTTCTATAACTCAACACAGACATCAAGAAATAAACAGAAACAGGAGCATGGAAGGGAGAAGTACAGTGCATCCAGAAAGTATTCACAGCACTTAATTTTTTCACATTTTGTTGTGGTAGTCTTATTCCAAAATTGATTAAATTCATTATTGTCCTCAAAATTCTACAAACAATACCCCATAATGACAATGTGAAAAAAGTTTGTTTGAAATCTGCAAATTTATTAAAAATAAAAAAAAATCACATGTATAAGTATTCACAGCCTTTGCTCAATACTTTGTTGAAGCACCTTTAGCACCAATTACAGCCTCAAGTCTTTTTGAGTATGATGCTACAAGCTTGGCACACCTATTTTGGGCACTTTCTCCCATTCTTCTCTGCAATACCTCTCAAGCTCCATCAGGTTGGATGGGGAGCATCGGTGCACAGCCATTTTCAGATCTCTCCAGAGATGTTCAATTGGGTTCAAGTCTGGGCTCTAGCTGGGCCACTCAAGGACATTCACAGAGTTGTCCCGTAGCCACTCCTTTGTTATCTTGGCTGTGCTCTTAGGGTCGTCGTCCTGTTGAAAGATGAACCGTCGCCCCAGTCTGAGGTCCAGAGCGCTCTGGAACAGGTTTTCATCAAGGATGTCTCTGTACATTGCTGCAGTCATCAACTGAATTTCCCACAGCTGGACTCCAATCAAGTTGTAGAAACATCTCAAGGATGATCAGTGGAAACAGGATGCACCAGAGCTCAATTTTGAGTGTCATGGCAAAGGCTGTGAATACTTATGTACTTGTGATTTTTTTCACTTTTTTTATTTTGAATAAATTTGCAAAGATTTCAAACAAACTTTTTTCACATTGTCATTAAAGGATATTGTTTGTAGAATTTTGAGGACAGTAATGAATGTAATCCGTTTTGGAATAAGATTGTAATATAAAATGTAGAAAAAGTTAAGCGCTGTGAATACTTTCTGGATGCACTGTAAGTGGTGAGGAAACAAGAGACATGCAAACACAGTGAAGCACATTTCAAAAATTCTTTCTTGATTCAGTATTTGCTTTAAAATACTCATAATGAGCCACAGTTAAAAAACATTGTGATGAACAGTGTTGTTTTGGTCATTATTTTAAGAATATACAGGCAAGATACAGTACATTGTAAACAAATAAAATGATAAAATACATGGCAATTCACGTATTTGGTAGCACATTTTATATCATTATGTAAATGAACTTAAGTGTTCTTACAGATGTTTGCTTTTATCTGTGTGACAGCATCTGTATTATAGTAATCTCTTTAACCTAAGCCTCTGAGACGAGGCATTGTTTGCACTGAGTGGGTCATTCATTATATTCTGCTGTAAAGAGAGAGACAAAGAGAAGATATCAGACATACAGTGCCTGCCCAGAGATCTTCCCTCTTTCCCATCAGTTTGTGGTAAACAAAGATGGTGTCTCCTTGTCTGAAGTTCAGGAAACGGCAGTCCTTACCATGGTGGTCCCTGATGGCCTGCACCCTGCTCATCAAGCCTACACACAAGCATACACACACACACACACACACAAGCATAATTACAAGGAGACAAAGACATAAGTGACTATAAAAATTATTTGTTGGATTAAAATTAGTATAAAAACAGATTATCATCATAAATGACACACAATTTTAAAAAAGCTAAAATATATAGTGCTAAACTGTAAACTGCAATTATGATATATAGACCGATCAGTAGCTTCAGGACTTACTTTCACATTCAGAATCTCCACAGATCTTGTAGTCAGACAACAGCCCCAGACTGAAGTAAGGTAAAATTACAAAAGCTATGCCTGTAATCCGCAGGAGTTGAAAAGCCTGTGAAAAAGCCATTCTTGCTATTTGATGATTCATACAGTAGTGGATCAAGAGAAAATGTGCATATTGTTGGGACAATAATTACAGCCACTTGTGCAAGTGGACATTGCCTCTAAACTGTTGCTGGCATGAAGACCCAATATCAAATGAGAGAGTTGAGATAAGATATAGAGCTAGTATTGGGATAATCATTAACATCCAAATGCTGCTTGTAATACAAGACATCTAGTCACTGGTCAGGGGCTTTAATTTGATTTGATTTGATTTGATTTTAGAGTGTAACACTAGAGGACGATTTTCATTTCACCGTTAAATAAATAAGCAAAATGGCGACAGAAAGATATTTTTGCAAGTTAAAGCGTGGACATTTCTTGGACTTCGTCCTTTATCTAAAAACCTGATAGCACGTGTGGCGTTAGTTCTTTTTTTTTTTTTGGAACATCAACGTGTTACCTTGACAGCAAAACACCGCGCATAAAACCAACGTCATCGCTCTGCGTTTACAAACAAAATGGCTGTCTAGTTTTTCCTCTCCAGTAGTTGTAATCTCCCTAATAAAGTTCCATTGTTTTGGTCACCTGTGGAGCTTTTCGTTATAATTTGCCGCAACATATATTGGTTTAGAATTTGATTAAAGTTGATAAAAAATGAAGTCGGACGTGGAAGAGTTAATGCCGAAGCTTTTGCCCGTTGAGTTTGGAGCCAACACAGAAGATCTGGGCCTGAATAGAACACCGAGGAACCCCCAGGAATACCTCCGACAAGTCCAGTAAGTTCTCCTCTAACAGTTCCTTATTTCTGTTTGGGCAGTGGAGAATGAGTGTAGGGCAATTCGGTAAATATCGGAAGAACCGGAAATTGTGTAAATATAGCGGTCGGTTAGTGATAGCTGAAGAATGCTTATCAGGAAATTCAGAATAACAATTGTGACAACCATTGTGATCCTAGGAGCAATACCTGTGCTGTAATAAATGTTTTATGCTTACATGTACCTTTTTTCCTCAAACGTAGTCTACTCACAAAAATACACAGTAGTTGTTACATTGTACTGACATTTTTTGTGAGTGTCCTTTGAGCCTACATATGATGCAATGTTTCTTGTTCTTCAGGTTGGAGGCATCTTTGTGTCCAGAGGTGGTGGTTGCTCAGATTGACCCCAAGAAACTGAAGAGGAAACAAACGGTTGATGTACCTGTGAGTAAAGGCCCCTAGTGGTCTGTCTACTATTACAAAGGCTATAAATGTATTATGATGTTGTTTGGGAATGACAATGCTAAGCTAATGTCAAAATAAATAGCTCATATAAACGTAGCCAAACAATGTGTATAACCCATAGTACATCAACTGAAGTACTTTAAAAAGATTCATTAAATCCGGTTACTATTATATTCGTTGTCAGCCTGCTTACATGAGCTATTAAATGAACTAGCAGGGATACATAACAGTGGCATACAAGATTAGGTGGGATGAAGATGTAGTTTGTTCCTTCAGTTGTCTGAGAAGTGTCTCTTATGTTTCAGGTGGAGGGTTGTCATGCCGCTCCAGTGGGTTTCTCCCCCAGCCTCAGGTGGCAGCAGCAGCAAGTCAGCAACTTCTCAGATATCAGACAGGTCACATAAAATGCAAAGAAACTTCCCTTTTTTCAACTTAGTCCATAAAACCTTACAGTTTGCATCACACACTCATTACAACTGATCAGAGCTTATAGGAATGTCTTAAAATTACTATCAAAAACCTGAAATATTCCATTTAGATGAGAGATTCTGAACATTCTCCAGTAAAGCTGGAACTAGCTAATGACCTTTACTTTAACTTGATCAATCCAATACCTATACTGGGTAGACTGACAACCTATCCCGCGTCTCGACACCTGATGTCAGCTGGGACTGGCTCCAGCTCCCACACCAACCCTCTAGGATAAGCAGTATAGGTATTAGATGGATCAAGTTAAAGTAAAGGTCATTAGCTAGTTCCAGAAGTCTATCACAGGGCACATAGAGACAGACAACCGCTCACATTCATACCTACAGTCAATTTAGAATCACCAATTAACCGAACCTGGTCATATCAGTGTTGACAGCAATAATCTGTTTTCACAGTCAAACATCTTCTGGGTTCTGCTTTCAGAGCATTGCAAAAAACAGGAAACACTGGAGCAGCCAGACTTTGGATGATAACGTGCTAATGGTGAGGAGAAGGCACGGTTGCAATGTTAAATCAGCTTTTAGAAAGTGTGTAAATTCATTGACACCACATTGGATGCTTTATCTTGGGGGCAAAATCTCATGCTGATTACTGGAAGTTTAATGAAAGTTGGAAGTTTGTCCAACTCTGTAAGACATTTTGTATGTTTGTTAATATATTTAATTGTGTGTGTGTGTGTGTGTGTGTGTGTGTGTCATAGCCCAAGCTAGCAGATGAGGAGGGCTGGAAGAGGTTTTGTTTAGGAGAGAAGCTCTATCTGGGCACTTCATCCTGTGACCCAGATGAAGAACCAGAGTCAGCACTGGACTATTGCAAGGTTGTATGAATGTGCACTTGTGTGTAAGAACATAATGAAAACATTTCTCAGTCTGTTTTTTGATGGTCACTTTATTATATACTTTTTGAATAAACTGAGCCTCTAAGGGTCCCAGAGTTTTGACAGATTAAGCTAAATTCAGGAAGTTTTTCAGCTGTCAGTGAAAAGGAAAACACCAAACTCATATTTTTTTTATCTAATCTTGTATTTGTGTTCAGGTGGGCTTTCCCCCTTTCCTAAGCATCGTCAGCAGACTAAACCAGGTAAATTATATTTCAATTTAGACAGAGTTCACACTCTCAATGTGTTCATTAATATGTTGTCTGCCATCCTTGTCTCAACAGACCACATTGTTAATGGTGTTGGAAATCCTCATCAGTTGGTTTGAGGAGAGAGAATTTGTTCCGCAGTTGGTGAGTTCGGTTTATGAAGTTCCAGGTCTTCAGTTGGATGCTACAGTCCCATTGTGCTATGCTATAGGTGAAAAGCTGTGCTCATAGTCTTCAGCAGAAGAATGTTAATTTGGAAAAGACTGCATTTCTCTGAAGGAGCTTGCACAAAGAACACGTTTGTTACAGGGTCGCTGGTTGTATGCTTTGCTGGCCTGTCTGGAGAAGCCTCTGCTGCCTGAAGCACACTCCTCCATCAGACAGCTGGCCAGAAGATGTGCCCAGTTCCGCAGCACGCTGGTAGGTCTCAGCCTGTACTACTGCCAGGCTCTGTGTAGCACTATCACTGTGTTTGCTGTTCTCTTATGGGCTCTTTTCATTTCCTGTGGTGCTATATTTTTACGTGAACTATTCACAGCCCGTTTGCTCGTGTCTCATAAATTTTACTCTAGGTGTGATGTAATAGATCTGCTATGATTCCACAGGAGAGTCGGGAGGATGAAAAACTGCCTGCCCTCAACCTGCTCATCTGTCTTGTTGCCAGGTATCTACCACTGAGTCAATGACAGAATGTGCTGGGGAAACTACCTAGCATAGCTTTGCAAGCTACCAATTACTTCACACAGGAATACGCTGAACTACAGCAAAGCTACTCTAGTGAGAAATCTAATCTGATTAAAGCTACTTAGAAAAGCTAGTTCAAACTACTTTGTCAAATGATGAGCAAATTCCCAATGTACACGATACAAAAATATTACAAAATATGATACAAAATGTCACGTGCCAGCAAGAACTGCCACTCAGTTTATTACCCAAGACCTTAACCTGACCTAAATAAAACAATCCCACCTGGGCTTTCACAAGTACCAATTGTAAGGAATGATATTGTTTGGTAATTAAATTCAGATTTTGTATTGACTACAGTTAAAACAAAGAAATTTAACTTGCACCTTTTTTTAAAGACTTTTGAGCACTGGTCTGAAAAAATGGGCCTGTTATTTGACATTTTGTATCATCTTACTTGTACAGGCTTCACAACTACAGCTGTCTATTTAGTTTCAAGCATTTGCATAAGTATGGCCATGAGATCCTTCATGGTTTTGCTTTGTGAGCACTGAGCATCTGCCCCTTTGGAGTATGCACTATACAAGGTCAAGTGTGTGGCGGTGGCTGTCTGATGAATGCACTGCCTTAGATTTGCCCTTAGTTGTCACGATATTAAAAAAAAAAAAAAAGGTGGGGGTGCAATTGCAGTAAAGAAGCAATGACAAAATATGAGAAATTCATGTTGACTATATCAGGTTTAACTTATGTGCTAAACACTATACATTCATTTATGCTCACTTCCTTCTTTTTCAACCTGCAGATACTTTGAGCAGAGTGATCTAGCAGACCAGCCAGAGTGAACAAGGCTGAACAGTTTGACCTATACCAACAAGACCTCAAAGTAAACCCTCCTACTAGTGCAGATTTCAGACAATCAAGCAACAAGGTTGAACAGTGGAACTCGAGGCAACTAAACGAGGAGAACTTTTACCAGTACTTGGTCAACTTTCCAGTGTTCAAAAAGAACACGCACATGGGGCTGTGGTGGTTCCACATATGCCGAGATGAAAATTAAGGACAGAACCAAATAGATTGGGTCATAAATGGAACTTGTACATTTGGTTTGTTGAACAGAGCTGTTTGTGTGACTGGGCAGCAGCTTTGTGATTATTTGGGTAAGGAGGAACATCTCTGTATTTAGTTCTAATGTTAACAGTATTATTAAATGTAAGTTTTGTCTATTAAAGTGATTTGTAGGATAACTTTATGTGGACACCGTTTTTGGTCATCAAGCATTTAACCCCCCCGACAAATATTTCAAACATACTGTGCCTCCTTGTACAATTGACATGGCTCTTGGTCCAAAACTCTGCTCCAGAATTACATACATGCACAGATCACCAAACAGGCAGTTTAATTCATTCGGCCTTAAATGAGTGACAGAATGAACCCTAGTGACCCTGCTGATCACCCTACTTGTGGGTCATAGTTTCCACTGTAAAAGGCATTGCCAACAATTTGACATGATCCAGACCAAATGACTAATAGTCTATTACTGAAATGAGTTAGCTGCAGCCCCAATAAGACTCCCGAAATGACCACACCGCACACATTTCCACTAATACCTCTTTTAATTTGAATTAGGTACAAAAAAAAAAAAAAAAAACATTTCAAAAGCCAGTATTTGAGCAGATCACACATGTACCCATGAGAAGATGATACAAGGCTTTGACATTCATCAAATAGTGGAAATTAATGAGGTTGTCAACTTGAAAAACAGCTTTCAGGGCCATCAATACCTCAGCCTATGGCATTATAATTAGGATGAATAAAAGGGAGAACAATTAACATTTTTTCCATTGTAGGGCCAGAGAAACCCACACGTCAGACAAGATAACTAATCTCGGCTAGAAATTACAGAAATAAAACGAGGTCTCAAACCTGCTGAGTAAGGACCCAGTCAGAAGTGTGTGCTACTGCGGCTTAAAGTCCAGTTTACGTTCTATCAAGTGGAAAAAGTTGGTGAAAAATAACCAGATATACAGGGCTTCAGTTTAAACACCATCTTATAAATCCCTACACTGAGAAAAATCCTGTGTTAAAGCTTCCACTAGGCCTTTAAGAAATGTGGCATTTTAATAGCAGATTTAAAATGAGTCATCTCATATGTCATTGAGTAAATAGATGGAGGTTTATTTTCCCTCCGTTTTGCTGTGATTGCCAACTTGACCATACAAAGGCCGAACGACAGCCACATTAGCGCCTCTTGTCCTTCCTGTCTCTATGCTCCCTATCGCTCCGGGATGACCTGGCCCTCCCTTCCTCGCTCCTCCTCTTCCTGCTTTCCTTGGAGCCCTTCGAGTCCCTCCCTCCTCCGATATTCCCTCCTCTCTTGCTGTGACTTTGTTCTTCTTTCTTCCTGTCCCTGCCTTTGTCCAACGGCCTCTTGCGCTTACCGCTGTCTCGGCTGCGACTTCGGCTGCTGCTGTTGGATGATGAGGATGAAGAGGAGGAGGATGATGAAGAGGAGCGGCTGGATCCGGAGGAAGAAGAGGAACTTCCGCTGGAGGATGAGCCAGAGGAGGAAGAAGAGGAGCTGTTACTATGGCTGCGGCCCTTCCTCAGCTCCTTTTCCTTCTTCCTCCCTCTCCCACTGTCCTCATCCTCCTTGGAGGGTGCAGCGGTAGAGCTGGGGACTTCCTGAGAATCAGGAAGATTTTGTGGGACTTCGTCCCCTGATTTCCCTTCTACAGCCTGGCTCTCCTCTGCCGAGTCCTGGACCTCAAGGCCAGGCATGATGAAATCCAGTCCAGACGTGGTGGAGGCTGTCTGGGGTTCTGGGGTAGCAAAGGCCTCCTGGGTGTCTGAAGACTGTACAGCTGGTTCCCCTGCAGAGGGGCTGGGATGGGGCTGCCGACTGGTGTCGGGTGCTTCTTGGCTGGTTATGGATGGCTCATGGGACTGCGCGTGTTGGCCCTTTTCATTTTGGATGTCTATGAGCGCCTGGTTGTCTGTTTTTCCCACCTCTTCCTTACTCCTGTCCCCCCCCTCCAGCTCCATCTCTTCTGACCCAGGACTTGTCTCATCTCTCTCCTCTCTGCCCTTTATGCCCTCCTCTACTTCCTTCTTCTCCTCACTACCTTCCTCACCTAACTCCATCCTCTCCTCATCTACTTTTTGTAACCCTTCCAGCTCCTCCTCCTCCCTCCCCCCCTTCTCTGTAACCTTTCTATTTCCTACCTTTTCACTCTCTTCCCTCTCCTCCTCTTCCTCCATCTCTGCATCCCTCTTATTACCTGTCACCTTGACTACCTGACCTGCTGGCTTACCCTCCACCGAGTGGTCCGTCCCAGATGCTGCTGTGTTGCCGTCCTGGTCGCGGTTTGGCTGTCGCCGGGGGCGGGACTCCATCTTGCTGAGGTGTTCGGCAAAAGCCTCACGCCTCTCCTCAAACACAACTGTCCGAACACAAAACCAAATGCAGTGGTTATAGAGTGATTAAAAAAAACCAACCCTTTTTCCATCCGTTTCCCTAGCATCAGTCATCTACACTATTACAACACTTTATTTCTAAAATAAGGATCCCACTAACCATTTAGTTTCTTGGTGGAGTCATCGAGGAGTTTCTGTGTAGCGGAGCACATTTTTCCAGGCAAATAGAAGATGTGAGGCTTGGTCTTGGTGCGGATGTACTTCACCAGGCGGTTATTGTGGCTGGTCCACTCCTCTTGCTGTTGATGGAAGAGAGCTCATTAATGTCTCAGTGGCAAATATCTGTGGCAACTGAAGAGCCAAAGAAATTTCTTACCAGCTGAGCTAATTCCACTTTCTGCTCCAGTAACCTCAGCTCAGTCTGTTTGGCTCTCCTCTCTTCAAACAGCTCCCTTTTTTCATTCTCCACCTTCTTCCTCTCAGCCTCAGCCTGAACCTCGAGCTTCTGCTCAATCTCTGAGCGCCGCTTTTGCTGTCAGGTGAATACCAGAGATGGTCAGTCCAGTCTAATTTTATTTAATAGCTCGATATTACAAATTTCATAATAAATAAAACTCTAGCAGGGAAACAAAATAACAGAAGGTTTGAACAGATAAAGTGGGGGGAAAAAAAAGAAACTTGTACTACAGCAGGACTGGGCAATTGTCCATCTCATTGTACAAATACTGTGTGTCAGCAGTTGGGTCTGTTTAAATATTTATATGAATTCTACTGTGGACAGAAAGGATGCCAGGAATTTCCATTATATTCCAGAGAAACCTTTACACTTGAGAATTAAGTCTGAACTTGGAAAAGGGGGTTTTACAAAACAGGCACAGTCTGACAAAGTATGGGGACCTCGTGCACAACAAACCTTTAGCTCATCAGTTTGGTTTCAATGATAGCTGACCATCTGATGTAGTAGCCCAGAAAAACAATTGGATTCAAAACATTTTAGCTGCACATCTTCTGGTGAAAACAGCTCTCATTAAGGACAAGTTTAAATATGCACCTGCTGCTTAGAAAGTTGATTTGCTTTGTCTACCAAGATTCAGGGAACTCCAGAGTTCACAAATAAACTGGATGAATCTCCTCACCTTCTCTGAAGAGATATTGGATTCCTGTTTGAATTTCTGTAGTGTCCCCATCAGCAGGCCGAACATACGCCGATTCCTGCCCAAGAAAACACAAACCTCCCATCAAACATAGAACGCTATTCTAAGCTGTACACCGATTAATGCAGCCTCTTTAATCCCGTTTGTCTTTAGTTGTAAACACGAACCTCATGCATGCCTACCTTTGTTTGCCCTTCTCATCCATGGTCTGATCTTGAATGAGGTCTCGGCGTGTTCTCTCCTTGGAGGTAGCTACCACAGATGACTGCAACGCCGGCTGAGGGAGAAAAACCAAATCAGTTAATAATGTCTATAACTGAAACACTTAACACTTTTAACTACAGAGTGCTGTGTAGTGAATCATAACACTCTGAACTGAGTTAGCATTTTTGCACTTCCGGTTCCCTTGCCCCGAAGTCTATAGGCTATTTTGAATGGATCTTTGGTTGGACACCTAAAGAAAAATGACCATACACACTAGATCCTCTACTTCTAGATCCCACAGTTACCTAATCTACTGGTTAAACATCTGGAGGGAAAGGGCTCTCATGTTAGATTATTTGTTGATCTAACTAGGAAGCCACAACCTAGATTAACTCTGTACACTAGAAAAGAACAGTGGGTATTGGGCCCAATATTGAGTGCTGACACACACCCTTTGTACAGCAAGTTCCAACTTCTCCCTTCTGGATGACACTTTAAAGCCCTAAAGTACAGACTAACTTGGTATAGCAAACAAACAGCTATTATTGGTATGAATAAGTCATAGGGAAGAATACAAATAAATTTCTGTTTTATCCTCTTAATAGTAATGATGTCAATATGAGGCACTGCATGTATTTGTCTGAATAGGTCATAATATGGACATCTTTTACAATGCAATCCAAATTTACCTATAGTTATAAGTAAACTTGAACTATGACCTCAATGAACAATTTTACATCTATGACAATTTCACAAGAACAAACATTTTGAACTTCATTAACACAGATGTTAAGGCAGAATTGTTGCACTGAAGTATATACACAATTGTACAGGTGTAACTCATAGTGGCTGGTCAGTGTATTAACTTACTAGATCAGGTCACACTAAGGGGAAAAGGACTGTGTATTGGAGAAAAGCACACTAAATTGATTAATTTCCGGCGCTGGCAGCTATGGCAGCCTTGGTTACAGGTGCTCTCGTGTTTGTTTTTTTTTTGTTTTCTTGGTCTTCTGCAACTCATCCTGGATTACTTTTACCAGAGAAGACCTGTTAAATATCGGCCAACTTACACCGGACTACCTTTCACCAATTTTTCTGAACAAAGAATGCTGTATGGACATTCTGATCGGAGGCGCAGCGGCAATATAATGGAAAAAACCCCGCCCTGGAAAGCGTGCGGGCACTATGGGGGTGTTATACCAGAGAGGAACACGGACTCCACTCCACCTGGCAAATCTCCACTCCCTGGTCAACAAGATGGATGAAATTCTTCTTGTCAACAGGACTAAATGACTTTGCACACTCTGCTGCTTTGTGCTTCAGAGACCTGGCTGAGTGACTCAATCGCGGACAACACGAAACAAGTACAGGTCTTCCAAGTATTCAGAGTGGATCGCGTTACGGAGCTGTCCGGAAAAACAAGGAGGTGGAATCTGCTTCTGCATAAATGAAGGTTGGTGCACAGATGTCACAGTGCTACAGAGGACATGTAACACGGACTTAGAGACTCTTATCGATTGCAAACCTTTTTATTATCTCCGTGAATTTAACAGTTTCATTCTAATGGGAGTGTACATAAAACCACAGGCCAACGCTAGCGTACTACAGCTCCTGCCAGAACAGATAACTAGCATGAAGCTAGAATGAAGCTAGAACATCCCGACTCTCCACTCATCAACTTTCCCTCCAGCCTCCAACCCCTAACGATCTGTGAAAAGAATGTGCATGGCCTCTTTTTTTTTTTTTTTTTTTTTTTTTTTTTTTTTTAAAAAGGATCAGAAAGGCACCAGGCCCAGATGGTGTGACCCCCTCCTGCCTGAAAGCTTGTGCTGATCAGCTGGCCCCCATCTTCACACTTATCTTTAACAGGTCATTGGAGCTGTGTGAAGTCCCCTCCTGCTTCAAATGTTCCACCATCATCCCTGTTCCCAAGAAACCCTCCATTAGTGGACTGAGTGACTACAGACCCATCACCCTGACATCTGTAGTTATGAAGTCCTTTGAGAGGCTGATGTTGGCCCAACTGAAGGACATTGAAACCCCCTGCAGTTTGCCTACTGGGCAAACAGGTCAGCGGGTAATGCAGTGAACACAGCGGTACATTACATCCTGCAACACCTCGAGTCCCCAGGAACCTATGTACGGGCCTTCTTTGTGGACTTCAGCTTGGCGTTCAACACCATCATCCCGGACATCCTCCACTCCAAACTGACCCTGCCCCCACCTGTCAGTGGATTACTAGCTTTCTGACAGACAGGAAACAGCAGGTGAGGCTGGAGAAAACCACATCCTGCACAATAAGCACAGGCACCCCCACAGGGATGTGTGCTCTCCCCTCTGCTGTTTTCACTCTACACCAACAACTGCATCTTGAAGGACCCCTCTGTCAAGCTCCTAAAGTTTGCAGATGACACAACGATCATTGGTCTCATCTGAGATGACAACAAGTCAGCCTACAGACGGGAGGATGAGCAGCTGGTCCTGTGGTGTAGCCACAACAGCCTGGAGCTGAACATGCTCAAAACAGTGGAGATGACAGTGGACTTCAAAAATCAGAAGACTACTGTTGTAATGATTATCTTGATGAACCAAAAAAAAAGGAAGTGCCAAAGTGTTGCATGGAAAAATCCCATTGGCTTTTTGTCAAGGATATATCCATGGTGATTGAAAGTTCTGGTTTGGCCTACAAAAATACATCATCCCTACATAAGTCTACTCCAATGTTAAAACAACAATCTTTTCCTCATAGGTTGCAAATTTGAACAGTGCTACAAACACCTCAGAAAAGACAAACTCTTTGTTCTTACCTTTTTGACATCATCATCATCCTCGGCGTCGCTGTCATTTCGCGCATCTCTCCTGGCCCTTTGGTCCCCTGCCAGCCTGCAGACACACATGAAAAGACAGATGTTTCATAGTTAAGCAAACAAAGCACCTGCTGCTGCCACATCAGTCAGAAAGCCAAGCATCAACAGCAACTCAATCATGGATGTCACACACAAAAGAGTACAAATATATAAATAATGAATCAGGAGCGAATGAGGATATGGAGGCAGAAGAAGTGCATCACACAGCGGCGCAAGTAACAGACATTGTGGAGCACCAGAAACAGATGTACATCACGCTGATGAACCAACAGCAGGAAAACTTCAAAGGCTTCGTGCAACTAATTATGGAGACAAACAA